CGAGCAAAGGTGCCTTGTCTCTCCCCCCCCCCCCCATACACATACACACCTCTTCAGTCTGTACTGGTACGCAGCACGTACTATCACAGGGAAAGCCAGACGAGGTTCGGATGGAGAGGGAGTGAAAACGGGTGGACGAAGCCGTCGTTGACTAATCGGGCAGCACAGCGTAACATTTCAAGAAAGTCGAGAAAGACTGCTAGGCGGACGGCACTCCCTCTGGCTGGCAGGAAGCAGCAGCGCCTGGAAAGGGCTTTTGGTGAAAGCCGAAGGAGGGAAGCGCCGGGGAGGGGGCAGCGAGGGGGGGGGGCGGGCCGGGAACAGAGCGGAGAGAAAGAGCTCCTGCACTGAGGCAAAAGAAGGGAGGGGGAAAAAGGGCCAGTCCGAGGAGTCGGAGATAAGTAAAACTTTCATGTTCTGTATGAGGGAGAAGTACCCGGGGCCAGTGAGAGAGAAGCCAAAGTGGAATAAACAAGGACCTTGAAAGCTCAGAACCGTGATGGGGAGAAGGGGAGAGGGGGGAAGATTCCCTAAGGAGAAGAAAAAAAAGAGGAGAAGAAAAACAGACCCCTTTTCCCCTGATGACTGGCGGTGAAGTTGAAAGAGAAACTTTCCACTTGCTGATAATAAGAACTGTTTAAGCTTATGAAGCTCCAAGGAATGGAGTTAATTACTTTAAAAGCCTCCAACTGACACTCCGAGGAAGAAGAAGAAGAAAGAGAGACAGAGTCTCAGGACTAAAGGAATGACCAGATGTTTAGATGAACTGCCTGTAATAACAGTTTGCTGCCTATTCTTGGAGTTTAAAATACTAATAAATCTGAATCAGAAACGAAACTAAGTTTTTCTGACATGCGCAGTAAAGCTATGCAGGACTGTTAAACTGCTCTTGAGCGCCACCTGCTGGAAATTTGTATAATTACGTCCAGAATCATAGCAATTGCTTTTTCTTTTTTCTTTTGCTTACATTACTGCTGGAGACTCCTTTAAAAATAAATGGGACGGCGTACAAGCTTGGGTAAAAGAAGATATTAATGAGTCAAAGAAGGTCAAGACAAAACGAAAGCAGAGTTGCTGTGAAAAGTATAAGAGAAACTAGAGTGGTTTGAAGAAGAGAAAACTCTGAATCAGGTTCAGCATCCAGGTCGGGATCCAAAAATAAACACTCTGACCATAATTTAAAGAGGCTTATCTGTGGCTACAACAGAAAAAAATATGGCACAGAAATTGCAAAAAACAGAAGAAGGAGGATCCAGGCCTGATACCAGGAGTGCTACTGGATGCCATATCACGAATCAATGAAGACGTTAAAGCAATGGATCAAAGAATTCAGAACCTTGACAAGAAAATGGACACAATGCAAGAAGAGTATTAAAAAAATTTAAGAGGATTATAAAAAACATATTCAAAATTTAAGGGATAATCTGGAGTCTCATATGCAGAACATGGATAGACAACTGGTGGGAGTAAAAGCACAGACGAAAAGAAATTCTTCCAGACTCTTGGATTAAGAAAAAGACATTGTTGACCTAAAGACTCAGATGACTGATTACGCAACAGGATTTCTCACAAATGTCAAACATGAGAATTAAAGGTTTAGTGGAAGGTGCTCAACAGGAAAAGGAGTTCATCATAGGCATCCTTCAGTCTCGAGAGACTATGGTAGCATGCTCTGTATGGAGGACTTCACTGCTGTATGCGAAGCTGGAGTGTCCTCTCCAGAGCACAAAGCCTGGGTAAAATAATATGGAGGATAGGCTGTTACCCAAGCAGCAAATCCCCCCTCTCCACGAAACAGTGGTAAGGTAATGGAAAGGCAAGAGGAGTTACTGAAAATAATATTAGAATGGTTAAATAAAATAACTCCTGAGCTGGACTGGGCAGTGTTTGATATTGAACGCATCCAGCATGCATCAAGAAAAGTCAGAGGCCAACTACAGGAAAAAAGAGGAACTTATGAAAGTGTTGAGAGAAAATCCACAATATTTTAAAATCGAAAATGATGACGTCATGGTTTTCAATGACTATTGCCACGAAACAGTGGAATATAGAAGAAAAATTAGAGCTATCACAGCCCTCTTAATTGTAAAGGATATCAAACACATATGGGGCCATACAGTCGACATGAAAATTTATCACTGTGGGAAACATTATAGTGTCACTTGGGAGAGATCAGCTTTAGATTGTTTGATGAATGCTGGACTTATAACTAAAGAAGAAGGAGGAGAACAAACTTCCAAACTGGATAGCCAAGAGCAAGAGGTCAAGTAAGAAGAAGAGTCTGCAAAAGAAGAACAGGTGGTCAGAATGAAAACACGGGCAAAATAAAAAACACAATCAAATGAGGAGGTCTGGGAAAGGATAAAAATGTATTTCGGGTGGGGACCCAGAAGAAAGGGGAAAATAAGTGGTCAAAGAGGAGGTCTGGGAAATATTAGAACAATGAGTGATAAGGAGAAAAACAAAAAAGGGTAGAGAGAAGGGGGGAAGTGAGTAAACAGAGGGGGATTAGAGAGTAAAGGGGAGAACTGGCAAAGGAAAAACTTATATTAAGGGAAATTCCAGTAGTAGGGATAAAGAAATAGAGAAACTCTGGGAATGTCGATAGATAGTATTCTGTTAAGGCTTTTCATTAAATATAGTTTAGAGTTCTCAAAGGAAAGGGAATAGGCTTTTAAATAATAGAGATATGACAGCAAAGGGAGGGGACCGAGCCAACGCTTCAGACCACAATTCCCCCCCCCACTGAGGCCAAGAGGTCAATTGAATAAAATTCATAAGAAAGGGGTCAAAGACTAATGAGTATAGGTTGGGGGTGGATAAGCGAGGGTTTTGTTTTTTCCCCGGAAAGAGAATAGATGCAGTAAAATGAAAGAAAAATTAGAAGCTTTTCAAAAAATTTATAAGGACTTATATACAGGCAAAATCCCTCTTTAGATAAAATTGAAAAATATTTAGAAAAGAAGTACAAAAAGGTAATAACTGAAGAGGACAGGGAAATAATGGAGAAAACAATAAGAGAGGAATAGACAGAAATTATTATAAACAAATTAAAAGCAGGGAAGACTCATAGAGCAAGGACAAGTTCAAGAGGAAGGAAATAAAAGAAAGGGCACAGTAAGTGTGATTTATAAGATATTACCAAATGTTGGATATGAAAAGGCTACGATGAAAAACCAGTAGCAGAGGACCTTGTGGAAGAGGTTAAAAACGAGGATTGGAACAAAATACCGTCACAAAGAATAATAAAGAATATGTCTATAAGGGTAAAATAATATTGTTGTAAGGTCGCATGGAGATGGTACCTTACCCCAGCAAGACTGAATATTATAAATAAAAATGTATCATCTCAATGCTGGAGATGCAGAAAGGGAAAAAGAAGTTATAAGAATGGGCATTGGTTTTCAAAGAAATTACAAAAAGGGTAAAAGAAGTTATAAGAATGGGCATTGTTTTTCAAAGAAATTAGATAAATTACCGGTATTGGAAATAATACTGTATTCAAATATCATCAACGATTGCCCTTTCAAATATAATCAAGAATGACCATCTTAAAAAGGAACAGAAAATGTTAATTGTTATAATGGTCACAGCAGCAAGATTAAAATTTGCAAAAAAATTGGAAAAATGACAAATGAACCTTGAAGATTGGTGTAAAGAAATGTGGAGCTTAGCGATAAATGATAAGCTAACATGTGAAATAAAAGTAAGAAGGGGAATTAAAAAATAGAATGATTTTAAAGAGATATAGAATCCATATTTGAACTATGTTTTTTTAAAGAGGGAGGTCATAATCCAGCAGAAGAATCAATGTATTTTTGGAAAAATAGAATGATTTTTTTTTAAAAGGGAAAGGTCATAAACCAGCAGAAGAATCAATGTATTTTTGGAGTGGAATGGGGTGAGAAAAGATATACAGTATTTGCTCATCTGGTCCCCAAGGTGATGGTGGCTTTGTCGTTCAGTGCTGTCCGGCTCTTCGGACTGGGCACTCCCAGGGCCGCCCTAAATGTGCGGAGGGGGCGCCTTGAGCAGCAGCAGCAGCAGCAGCAGCAGCAACCTCCACTGCCACCACCCCACACTTCGGCGCGCGCGTGTGCGTGTGCGTGCGTGTGCGTGTCCGTCCGTCCGTCCGTCCGCCCGCCCGCCGGGCTCCGCGCGCAGGGCGGCGCTCAGAGACGGAGCTGAAGGGAGCGAAGAGTGGTCGTGGGTTCGAGGCGACTCGAGGGACGCCCATTCACGAGAGGCACCCGCGCACATGCTTTTATTCCCCCTTCCTCTCCCCTCAGGATGAAAGAGGGCGCTCCGGGATAGCCCCGGTCCCCAACAGCCCCGCTCAGGGTCTGGCAAACTCAAAAAAAAAAAGCCTGTGGTTTCCTCCAGGGAGTCGGTCCATCTCCTGTCGGGTCCTCCTCTTCTCCTGCTGCCTCCCCGCACGACCTGCTCAAAGGAGGGCAGAGTTCAGGCTTGGTTTGTTCTAGGAGCCCCTTGTCTGTCTTCCTGGCCGTTCAGGATCGGCCCCCCCCCAAAAAGAAGGCGCCCGTCGGAGAGGGCGGGGCACTGGCAGATTGGCAGCTGCTGCCGCCGCCGCTCGAGACGAGGATGCCCGTTACAAAGAGGGCCGCGGGTGGGCGGGGCGAGTTTGCATTGAACAGTCTTTCAGCCCATCTGACAGAATATCCATTTTTGTCACTTTCCATATTTTCCCAATAAGATTCTCTTGCTTCAGTGTTTCTTTCTTGAGATTTTTAACATAATGCTTTTTAATTCTGGAAGCTGCATAGGTCACTGGATAACTCTCTATCCCATCTATGTTACCGGGTGTCATGCCCAATAAAGATGGTTCTAAAGTTTGTGCAGCTTCATTTAAGTTTTGTTTTGCATCTAATGTCACCTCTTTTGTCACTTTCATCAGATCTATTTTGCTAAGACTTTCATGTACTTGCTGAAACCCTGTTATTATTATCTTTTGCATAGTAATCTGCCATTCCTTTTCTATTTATTGTACCACTATTCCAAAACTTTGGGATTGAACAGACCAAGTCTCCATTTGTTGTCTTAAATTTTTGGAGGCCATCTCAGGCTTACCAATGAATGGGGTTTGTATAAATAATACTATGCCCTTAACCACAATGATCGCCCCTTATATATCCTTCAACAATTTCCACAATTTTATCAACAATCCAAACCCCTAGTCATAAACCTCCCCTTAGATCTCCTTCCAATCTTTATCCAAATATCATAATATAAAAATCAACTTTTAACCCAGCAAATTCAAAATCAAATAGAACTGTGGCACAATTATTTCTTCTTCTCCAGAGTTTAGCAAGCTTCTGTTATCAGTCTCACATGCAGTCCGGCAAACAAAACAACAATCACAGAGTCTCAAACTGTCCAATAGTTGTCCTTGAAGCCCGTCTTATGATCTTTCCATTAACCCCTTGATGCTCCTCAGTCCAGTCGACCACGTCAGCTCCTTCTTTCTTCTCCAGAAAACAACCAGATTCTGTTATTAACAATTCACAGAGTCCAGGAAAAGGCAAAGAGAAA